ACTAAGTTAAAAATAGATTAAGTTGTACTATATGCAGTACAAATTAAGAATAAAACAAATATGTAATTAATTAATTTGTGCCAAATTAAATACAACTTAGAAAGGAAATAGTGAAATTGGTGTAATTATCAGGTTGACCAGTGATTTTTTGCTGGGTTGTCATGTGACCCAATCCTGGATTTGAAGGGAGAAAGGAAAAAAAAAAGAAAAGGATATAATTTTTAGAAAAAAGCCTTGAGATAGTTTTTTGAAGTTAGTTTGCTGAGTTCCAGTCCGTTTTGAATAAAATTTATATCAAAATGAAGCTGGTGGTGTGCTAGACACAACTCTATTAGTAAACAAGAGCTGTTAGCTTAATAAATTTTAAGAAATTTCCAGAGAAACTATTTAATAGTTATAGCGAGGTAACTTTGTATATAGAGGTCCAGAAAGTATGAAACTAGGCTATCCTAGAGCAAATTTTGTGTAGAACAATTTTGCTTAATAGCCTAAAGATTGTTTGCTTAATAAAATATTTAGTTATTACAAAATGTTTTTAGGAAGTTTTGGTACAAGTGATCTACGGTAATTATTAATAATTTCTTATTTTAATTATTAATATATCAAAATATAAATATTAAAAAAAAAATAAAAAATAAAAAATATCAAATGTCTAGAAAGAAAAGAAAAACTAAACATGAAAAAAGACTTGAAAATAGTATCAGTATCATTTTCCTGATGAGATATAGATGAACATCTTATCATTCGTGTCTCTTGATATAATTGAACAAAAATTCTTTGAAAAACATCCACCAATCAAGACTATAAAATCAATTTTATGTATTTCAAAAAAAATTTCACAAATATTTCGAGAGATATTTGAAAATGATGTTGATAAAAAATTTATGTTAATAAAAAAAAATATAATATGGTCATTACTATATAATATAAAGGATCATAATGAAAGTTTATATAGATCAGAAATTTACAAATTTTTATTATATTGTAATGAATTAGATAAAAGGTGAGTCAGAATTTAGAATTAATATACTTTTATTTATAATTGATTATCATTGATAATTGATAGTTGGTACTTAATTAATTTTATTAGTATATTCACTTAGTAATATTACTAATTATTATTTTTTTTTATTTAGATCTACTATAATAATTTTTCTTATTAATTTATTAAAAAAAAATAATATTAATATTAAAAGAGTTTGCTTCTATATAAATTATCAATATCTCTCCATTGAATATAATGAAAAAAAATTTTATTTTATGTGTTTGAATAAAAATAATTTAGTTTAAAGAAAAATTGTAATGAAATAATAGAATTTGTATCTAATTCTCTTACTGAACATGATTATCTTCATTTTTTAATTAGTAATAAAGGTTTTTCTAGTTATATAAAAAAATATTGTAAATTTAGTAAAATATCAATGTTATTATTTAAGAGTAGTCAATTTAAACTTATTAATAATTGTTACAGAAATAAAGAAATACAAAAGATTATATGTAAACAATAACTTAAACATAACTAAATTGTATTATTAATTAATATTACTAATTAAATAAATATAAAAAAAATTCAAATCTTTAGTTCAATCCATCCTGTTTTATTATTTTTTGTTATATTACAAAATTTTTATTTATAAAATGTCTTTTGAAAATTTGTCTTATCCACTTGATGGATATAAAATAAATGATATTATTAAACCAAATTTAAATCAAAAATTTAAATTTGAATATTTTACTGAAAATAATTACTTTATCTTTAAATTTTTCAAATAACCTATGGAGATTAAAATGACACTTCATAAAAATGAAGAAGATATCACATTACGAGAAATGCATAAATTAGAATTTTCCTTTTCCTTTACTAGTAATCAAGATATATTTTCTTTACCTCGTAATAATTATATCTTATTAAATAATGATGTTAAAAAAGCAAGAATTTATTATCATGATGTTATTATTTTTGAAACAGATAATTTAATTAGTGAATTTGCTTGATTTCATATTTATTTTATATTTTTATTTATTAATTAAATATAATTTTTTATTATCATGTGATATAATTTGAATTAAATATTAATTTTGATCATTATTTAATATTATAAAAATTTTTATAAGAATAGGTTTAAAAAATTTATAAAATTTTTATATTTTAAATATAAACTTGGAATCAATAATATATTAAATTTATTATTAATTTAATTAATAAATAAATTCAATATATAAATATAGTTGAAAATTTTTATAGTAAACAAATCAAAATTTAATAAAATGAATAATCTAAAAATAATTAAATATTTAGAAAAAATTCACGAAGAAATTTTTGAAAAACATAATCATAATTTATTAGAAAAATATTATAAAGAAATACCAGAAAAAATTTTAAAATTAACAGATAGAATGAAAATAGTAATCGAATGTATGGAAAAAGCTATAAATGAAAATGGAAATTGTAATTAGCTTAAAGCTCAAAGATTAATAGAAAAGGAAATCAAGAGAAGAAAAAAGGCTGAAGAAACTAAATTATTCTTAAATATTTCTGAAAATGATTACAATTTTATTAAAAAATATTTATTTAATTAACAAAAACATAATTTTCTTTGAACATTAAAAATTATGGAAAATCTTAACTTCTTAATATTTATTCTTATATAACTTATTTTTTATATCATAATACAAAAAAAATCATATATTTATTTGCTTAATTTATTTTATAAATTTTAATGATTTTATATTAAATATTTGTGTTTCTCCTTCTTTTTCAAATTCTAATATTCTCATATTATTATGTCTTATCGATTCTTCTATCAAATTATTTTCAAGAAAAAAGCGCACTTAATCTGTAGATCCCTTGTACCAAATTTTCTCAAAAAACTTTTCAACAAAACTAAATTTTCTTAAAATTTTATTAAGTAAACCAAGCAAGTGCCCTTAGGTAAACTTGCTCTACACATATTTTTACATCCTACTAGCTTAGTTTTATAACTCTCGCTTCCTTTTAAGCAGAGTTATATTCAAAAAACTAAGTGTTCCGGAAGTGTAAAATATCTTAAAAACCAGCTTCTAAATCTCTTTTGTGCTCTTAAGTAAAGTTGTTGGCCAGCCTCTTCCGGTCATAACAAGCTCTAAACCATCTTTTTAGCACA